CTGTTTTCAAACTCTAAATGTAAGAATAAGCCGATAATTGCTCTTCTGCCTCAACATGAGTTACTAGACCTGCAAAAACGATGCTTAAGTATACACATACACATGCAATTAGTTCAAACTATGAACATGCAAACTAAGTCGAACTTAGTGAAAACGCTACACGTTTAGTTCAAGTGTAGAATTTGTGTGGTATGTATATATTTAAGAGTCTACTTTAAATTTAGATATTGTTTAACAGTTATTCTACAAATATACCAGTTCAGCATGAATTAGGGATATGTTATGTGTGCTCAGAGGAGAAAATTTCAGTTATAAAGAACTTATTCTATTTCCTGAGACACAAATTATAGCCAAAAAAAAAATTAAAGCAATTGCTACATGTTCAGTTGAAGCTGCTATTTAGTTTTCTATAATAGCTTTTATTCAGAAACACAGAGCTTTTACTTTCATGATAATGATATTTACATCACAGTGCTTTTCACCAAGTGAGCTCTGACTATTTCACAACAGAAAATCTAAGGCACAGAAGAGAGAAAAAGATTTATCAGAGAGCATATAGGTCAGTGAGAGCTTCAAGGATAGAATTCAGGTCTTCAGCCTGTGGCCCACTGTCCTACTTACCCCATCACACCACCTCCTCAAGTTAATAATAGCTAATACCATGGATTTACAGACTAATTCTCACAGACACCTCTGTAAAATAAGCAGGTATCAACCTCATTTTACAGAGCAGAAAACATGAAGTGCTAAATTCTTTAGCACTCTATACACCTTGTGCAAGCCCATTACTACTGTATCAATACCCAACATAAATTCAGATAAACAGATACACAACATTTTTAGCACACTATTCTGTATTCTGAACTACAGAAAAAGAGACTTGCCTAGAGACAGAGAGCAAGCCTGTAGCATAACGGGATGGAAATGTATGAGTGCTTAGTTCACACTCATACGCTTAACCCACCTCTTTATCTGCATAACCTCAATTCCTTAAAATTACATGGGACATTGGATCAAGACATAGCATCAAGCAAAACAGCACCAGAAAATTTTCTGATTTTTTTTATTCCCAGCTTTCTAACATGGAGTTTTATGAAAGTACTTCCAAAACCAATTTTTGACAATCTATTTCTTTGCACTGGCATATTTAATTCTCTTTCTGTGTTCAGATTACTCAAGACTACAGCAGAGGAGATAACTCTGACATCTATTATTATGGGGTTTGAATATTGCTCCGAGTTAGTTATTATTTTAATTTTCTGAAATATCTTCAAGGTTTATAGCAAAGTGGAAACTGCATTGACTCACAAAAGAATTACATACAAAATCTATTTAACATCATGAAACAACTGAAGAACTGTATTTCTACCTGAAAAATTATAATCACACCTGTATTTTTTTCTATGCAGGAGGCCAAAAAAAAAAAAGAAGGAGAAAGGTAAAGAGTGAGGCAAGGTCCGCAAAATGTAAACCCTACTGACCTTGAGTAACTGAAACGGTGAGTATCTATGTTCTTGACCACACTGATATTTAAATTCCTAAGTAGTGTGGCTGGCTGACTCCACCGTGCTACAATGGTTCTTATAGTCACACACCATAATGACAACAGCTACATGACAGCAGTCTTAGCATTGTAATGAAATGATGTAGGTTTCCTAAACATCGAATTCTACGTCTGTAAAAATGAGAGGATTCAAGCGTCATATATTTAGCCTTTATATACATTTTAAATAAGCATGCCACCCAAACAGCAAGCGATTTTCACGAACAGACTTAAAAAACCACTAGCAAGAACAATTAAACAATTCAGCAGTTCACAGCTACCAAAACAGTATCACAGATAAACCCAATAATTTTTATGCACGATGTAGAAATAATTAATAACTAATCACTAAGTGCAGTAACTTGAACAACATGGTCCAGGTGGACAAAGACTGTAAAATGATCCAGGCTGGTTTTAGCATGCCAGGCTCTGCAGCCACAGGGCTTCAGCACAAGCAAGCAGCGCAGGCTCTGCTCCCCAGGGAGGATGCTGCAGAAAGGTGCTCCCTCCACCTGAACTCCAGGCCACTCTAAACTGAGCATCAGACACTGCCATGGGACTGATTTGGAAACAAACAACAGAGATTGATCCAAAAAGTTCTGCATTTATCCATCTACCCTGCATCATCTCTGCTTTCACTATGGCCTGCAGTTTCTGGTGATCCTGTTACCGCTGCCCATTGCGGGCTCCTCAGAACTGAAACAGTGTGAGTGTGCATCCCATACCTTAACATGGTAGCTTACGGATACCTGGGCTCCACAATTTCTTCACTGCACCTGTTTATCTGTCTTCCTTCATGCTGCATCTGCTCTGAAATGTGCTCGGCTGTTCACATGCCCCTCCTACATCAGCATACATGCAAAGCCATGCCAATACAGCCATACAACCTGCAGGTTCTGAAAATTTCACATTTTATTGCACTTCTTTCTTCCCTTTGAAACTGGTGTCGACTCCTGTCTAATAAATGCCAATATAAGGAGTACATTCCCATGCTTTGTCTTTGGCAACACGCAGAACCTGCTTCTCTCCAGTTTTCAAGCACAATCTTCACTTCGCCCCCAGCTACTCTTACCAAGTAGATTTCTGCCATTTTGACTAAAACCAGTTCAGTTATTTTCCCCAGGGTGAACGGAGGCTACACAGCAAGTTGCAGTACCTGGTAATGCTCACTTCAGTAACAGTATACATAAAATGACAACTTTCAGACGTAGTAACCAAGTGTCATCACACGTAGTCCTGTTTTAGCCAAACCAGGACATGACTTCAAATTAATTCTATTTTAAGATACACAACTACCTCACTGCTTAATAACGAGACTCTTGTTCTAGCACAAAACTTGTTCTTTGAACACCATGCGCTTTTAACAGATTTCTTCCCTTTCTTTGTTCTTGTGATTCTTTTTTAATACAAGAGATTCTAGTCTTCCCAAATGCTCATATTACCAGTGCGTAGAACTGTACACAATGAATTACTGCACGTTCCCTAGAAACAACACAGTAACAGATCACACTGAAATTCTGCAAGTTTCTGGGGACTCTGGGAAGTTAAACTCACATAACTGCTGTAAATGCTTAGGCCCAGCTATATTACAAGCATATCTGATGAAAATTTTAAATTAAATACTTCATCAGTATAGATTACTGGAAGAATATTATACTTTAAAGCAAATCTGAGACATCCTGACGATCATGTAAATACTCTTTCATGCACTCAGGTCTGGGCTTACACTGTTCTCACTTGAAGCAATGTTCACACCTATGCAATTCTGATGAACATTTAATGCAGACTGGAGGGGGAATGATTTGCACTTTTTTTTTTAAATGAGTATGGAAAAACCTGGAAGCAATAACCCAGAATAAGACTAGCTCCTATTTTCCCAGACTAGTTACTTTCCACCATTAATAATCCTGCCCCATTTAAACTTCAAAATACCCAAAGTAATTAAGCTATGTTTTGCTTGCCAATTTAGAGAGGCACTTGGGAGTAATATGCATGTTAATCAGGAGCATTAGCTGCCAGACTATATGAATTCTACTTCTCATTACTCAATCTTTATTATTGTTACTAAGAATTATTTTTCAGTTCTGGGAAAAAACTCCCCCCGCCCCTCCTCCAAAGAGAGATGGATCTCTGAGGATACTCTGAGCTGCAATACCCATTTGTTTTAGGGATGAGAAGAGTCCTTCCATAATCACCAGTTACTAAATAGCTCTTGCTATCAGGGAACGAATGAAGATGTATGACATCATCATTCCAACTGCCTAGCAACAACTCTTCTAACACCATGTTTTGACAAGTGGTTGGAGCCTTTTCTAGTATGAATGAGTTGCTGGAGCACAAGGACCATCAGATGAGAATCAGCTCTACCTTTCTTGATGGCTAGCTCTGATTTTCTTACCATCAGAAGAATTTCCATACAAGTAAAATCCTCATTTCTTCTCATAGGAAAGTTAAATGATGCATACAATATATTTGAATCCTTACTCACTAGAGGCTATGTCTGGCAAGGTGCAAAGTGAAGAAAGATGACATACGCAGTTTTAGTCATCTCAGACCCACCGCAACACAGCAAACTTGGGTTGAAATGTACCAGACTTAGACTGTAAGAGGCTCTTCTCACCTGAGAGCAGCAGATTTCTTGAGCTAAGCCTCTTTTATTCTATAGATTTCACTACTGAAAACTCTGGGCCATGAAAACAAGTGCAAAAGCACCGTGTAGACCTTCAGGTACACACATGAGATCATCCAGTGCATTCTCACCCTGTAGAATGAAGGTTTGCAACGAATGCAGTGAAAGAGACTTCAAGTTCTCTCTCAGACTCCATTATTAAGATTTATTAAATCTATTGGCAAGAAGCAACCACTCAAGTTTTAGTAAAGATTATCTGTTATTTTTCTCTTCAAAATACCTTTACTCAACTTTATGGTATCTTAGAAGGCAGACAGTTCATAAAAAGAACTTCAAATAATTCCGTTTCATTATCAAAAAGCAATCAGAAGTTTAAATATATAAATACTATTTATCACGCAATGTAGTTTTGGACTGCCTTTCAATTTTGAAGGTTGATATCCCAGCATTTTGTCAGAAAGGTTGGTGTTTTAATTTAGATAGTAAGTTGTGGCATAGTCCAGGAAACCTTGATTTCTCAAAATGCATATGTAGTTTTATTATTGAATTTGTTAGTATAGCAAATCGTATTTAGAGATTCACCCCATCTGTATATCTTACTTCTAGGCATATACATACCAACACACGCTCATGCACATGCTTCTTCTTCCCACTGTAGAATCAGTACTATTTATGTACATAAGAATTCAAAGAATTAGATCAATATAGTTTAACCACAAACCAGTTTTTAAAATACTTGTGGCACACCTCATTCTCTTCTATTAGAACTCAATTATTCTCAACAATGTACAGATGTCATACTTTGTAAAAAGAAATTTTAAAAGTCACCTTTCAAAAGCTGATTCAGGTCCATGGCATCATGCAAGACTTTTCGACTATATCTGCGATCAAACTCGGAATCTAATGGAAAAAATACAGACATAAGATTGGATTTCCCAGCCCCATAGGTTTTACAAATTTTGCATTGTACTTAAATTCTTCAAAATTACCATATAATTCTTGGCTCACATTTTCCTGTCTTTTTACTTTTAGTTTCTTATCATTTGATGCTGCAAGTTCAAAAGACTGGATAGGACTGATGTCTGGAGTTGACAGAGGTGTTACGTCAGTCACTGTGTCTTCAGACTCCTCCAAGTAGTCACCAAGCTTTGGTTTTCCTTCTGCTAATTTCATTGCTGACTTGAATTTTTGTTTTGGAGACAGAAGAGCATTCCTACAAGCATTCCTCTTTGAAGAAGAATGAGATGAATCTGATAAACAGCTATCGGAATCCGTATCGGAACAATCTGTATCTGAGCTTGAGGATGAGGATGAGGAGGACGACGAGGAGGAAGAAGAGGAGGAGGAGCTGATATTAGTATATTTTTTGCTAGCCTTTTTTATGTTGTTTGATTGCTTAGCTGACTTTGGTCTAACCTTCTGTTTTTTGCCATCATCACTACTATCTTCTTCATCTGTATAATAATCTTCTTCACCTTCTTTAACTATTTTGGGGATTCCAGCAGGAACATTCTCCTGTGTTCCCCTATTTGCTGTAGATCTCACTCCAGATGTACCTGCATTCTCCGCAACTGGAGAAAGTGACAAAGACGAAGCATCTCCAAGATTACCTGTGCTACTTTGTAGGGACTGATCCTCCTGCAAATCTTTCTGCTTTTCTTCACTTTCCTCCTCACAACACTTTGCACCTTTTGAATTAGAAACCAAATCAGGGTCTGCAAGAGCTGCTTTTGTACTTCCTTTCTCTATACATTCACCATTTCCTTCAGCTTTCTTTTTCTCTTCCTCACAATCACTGTCAAAGAAAGCATGATCCACTTCACCATCTGATACATCTTCAAATCGGTCCATACTGAATACCTGCAACCATCAGAAAAAGTTTCCACAGGTTAGCATAAAAACAGATCCAAGTATACTTTTAGTATAATAGTTTTGGTTTTTACTCTTTTAGCTCTAGTAATTTATAATTTCGCAATTAATTATGTTATATTGCTAGACATAATGCCATAGTGAGTTCCGTAAAGAAATTTAGTGCCACCTTATCGTACAGAGCTCACATGTTAGACCAAAAAGCTTTACTTTAAGCCAACAAAAACCATCATGATTTCAAAACTTTTACTCCTAAGGAAATTAGTCAAACATTGCTAGCAGCTAAAGAGTCTTAACTATTACAAACAAGCAATTGAAGTGTCTTGTTTTGTCCCTTTAAGCTACAGCCATTTTAAGCTAGAGCCACTAATGAGCTATCATTAGTTTGGATTTTATATTAAAAACCTTGTTTGTATGTGGTGGTCATCATCTTGGCTGACACAGTCATTCAAACTGCAGACTTTCAGCACTTAAAGTAGGAGAAATTTCAATTTACATCAAAAGATCAATGGCTCTATAAGCTAAACTGTAACAGACGTAGGATGCATCAGTGTTAATGTTTTAGTTTGGATCAGGGGCCTGCTTTTCTTCACAGTCCTCTGTAACCCACACTGCATAGTACAGTGAGTAGACTTCATTCTTTCAGATAAAACTAACTTTTAAAGTGTGCTCCAGGCATGAAACCAGTGTACTTAAACCAGCAGTCACCATTCAGTCCACAGGACCAGATTATAGCTAGCTCAAATACATACAGTGAGGATATCAGGTCCTCAGCGCTAACGGTTATGCTCTACAAATCTGCTCCTATTGTGTCACACTTCTTGCAGATATATATGGTGTTAGATCCCTCGCATGTGGCAGGGGAGGATATGAAAGTTTCCACTCATTAGTAGGACATACACAGAGTTAAAATAAAAAAAAACAAACACCCCACAACTGAACAAATTAAGCAGTATCAAAGACTACCATTCTCATCTAGACAGCAGTACTTTTCTCCTACTATTTACAACAGATTATATATAAATTCTGTAAGCCGCAATCAATAAATATGTAACATTTCTTAGAGTCAAGGAAACAAAAAATAAAGACAGTGGAAGCAACTATACAAGGCAGAAGAACCAGAATATTTTTTCAAGATGGATGGTCTCCCTTAAACCACATATAGTTTGTTGCCATAGCAAATAAAGGTGAAAAAGGAATTCCTAAAGTTGCTTTGAAACTGCAAGACTATTCCCAAGAAAGCTTCTAGCTAAAATTACTTCAAAATCCAGAATTTTTAAAGGTCTTTGTCACTCAGTTATCTTGCCACTTCTCAATCCTCAGTTTTAGAGGAATTTGAAATATACACCCCAAATAGAATAAGCACAACATAAACCTTAAAAGCAGAAGGTGTGGAATCTCCTTTGGTTTTAAGGTTCACAAAACCAAAGAGACTTAATAAGGTTAAATGTTGTATAAAGCTGAAAATGCTATTAAACAACAGAAGCAGAGGTCAATTTTGGTATCACAAAGAGAAATGCTTCAAAGCGCCTAGCTCCTCCAACAGCAATAGAACAAGGGAGTAAACTACCTGGGAACTCTTAATTTGAAATGCTACATGGAATTTGGAAATTTTTCGTATTCATGTCACTCCTTGTCATCCCTGGCTTCAGGCAGCTTGCATAGTCTGCAATGCCCAACTGTCATATGAATTCCTGGAAGTTTTCCTAGAGCACCTTCCTAAAAAGCTAATGCATTTTAACATATCAAAACATGCACAATAGAAAAAAATAAATCATAAGAGTAACACACTATTTACATTTAATTTTCTACCTTATGTAACCTAAACCAGAGGGGAACCAAGCAGAATTTTTTGGCATTACCTGTAGACTACAGATAATGAGTTAGTTATTTAGCAAGTACAATGTGAGAAAAGTCAATTCTATGAAGAAAATGAACATAGGAAATACTGTTAAAATTAAAACAAAAACTTTCCTTCTCCATGATGCAAGGTTTTTATTACTTAAGGTACTAGCACCTCACCAGTTTGTAGCTTCAGATAGATTATGACTGATTGGTAAAAGTAGGCACGAGGTGTATTTCACTTGTCTCAAACACATAGATTTGATATAGTGTCAGCACTGCTGCACATGTAAGAGCATAAGGGGTTAAGGCAAAAAACAGGTTTGCCAGTGGATGCAGATCAACTAGTACAGCTTGAAACAAAGAACTTTGTTGAGTGTAATACACACATCCATGTATTTTTAGTTTATGTAATGCTAATCCTGCAAAGGAGACTAAACTAACAGTATCTCATCGGCTATAACGTAACATGTGGTCACAGCCATGACTTCTCAGGTGTCTCTTTTCTGAACACAATCTCTTAAGTGAGGATGGGATTTAACTCAAGACAGTGGCAAAAGGGCAGCATAGAGATGGCAAAAGGTGATAAAAGATAGCAAGGAGCCTGTACGTTCCTTTACACCACCTTTTCCACCATCTTCTCACTCTGCATGACTCAAGAATAGCTTACCTGCCAGTGGGCTGTTTTCCATGAAGATTGAGCCATAATCGATTCATGGACAATAACCACTGCTACTAGAGAAACACAATTTAGCAGTCTGCCTCTGCCCAAGAAGCAGCAGTTGTAACACCAGTCCTTTCATTGCCAAACGCTCCTTCCACTTTTCTGGCACAACCAGCTAATGACTTTAGGTTTCATCTTAACGGAGAACAGACATGCTGTGTTGGTCAGTTTCTCTTACTGACATTCTTAATCATTCACAAACTAAATATTAATTAATTTTGTAGCTTCCATTAAAAACAAAAAGGAGGAAATAGATGAAGAGATGATATTCTTGATTCCTATTCCCCTCATGCATCTAGAATGTCTTTAAGGGAGCTGGAATTTGCCAAGAAGTAGCAATATAGAAGAAGCAATTTTGCTGATAACTCATGCCTAAATTAATAAATTGGCTGCGCGTACACACACACTCACACTCATTCATACACAGGGCAGAGAGTAATTTTCTTTCTGTGAGAAGAACAGAGTTCTTCTACATTATCAACTGCTAAAATACAGAATCAACAAGTGATACTCCGAAATCCCCAGAAAACTGTCATTAGAGTCAAATACTTACCATTAACTGCTAATTGTAATGACCATCGCATTAGTTTACAAAAAATATATGCTTTCTGTGGCCTTCTGCCATGAAACTCTCTAACACAAGTATGATCAACTCAAATGAGCAGGCTGGCCATTAATTATTTGTCAGACCTTTTTTTACTGGTAATATCTCCTCTCCCCATGTAATTCTCTACCTCTCTCCTCCGATTTCTTGTAACACCCACTCATTACCCCAGCCAAGCACACCTACACATCCTTGCCTCTTCCTCACTGCAGTTCCTCCTCCTTGATAGAACTTTTTAATCCCTTCACCTGTGAACACCAAGCCTGACCCACTTAAGATCAGAAAGCAGTGGCCAAGCAGCCAAGGAGAACATGCAATCTGGCTGTCAGGGCAGTAGGGACCCACACTTTCTCGTCAAGAGGCTGACACACTGAGCATCTGACTCCCTACCGAGATCACATCCTTGTTCTCACCAGCCAGCCACTGCCAAGAGCAAAGACCACTCAGCTCCTGTTTGGGCCAACCACCAAAGGACAAGCAGCATTTTGAAATCCTCCTCCTCCATATTAAACAAAGATCAAGGCCTTATCCATGCGACATTTGTTGAGTGTTTCTCCCCTGCCAATTGCAAACCTGCTGACTACAGCACCACCTGAAATATTTTGGCAGGTAATGCCTAATAGCAGGCCTTTAAGTAAGGCTGCAATATAAAGTATCTTATACAAAGGTAGGATGGTACATAAAAAGTGGTATAGAGAGGATATAGATTTAGATGTGGTTTTGTGTTTGAACATATCCTGCCTCTTGATAACATTTTTTGAATGTTAGAAACTAACACTAATGAAGTATATTAAGTACCTAGTGAAAGATTCAAGGTATTTTAACCTTGGTTAAACCTTAAAGTAATCCAATGAATCTTTTACTTTGTAAAATGCAGACCATCTGAAATACACGCAGAGAGTACTGAAATAAATCACAGAAAAAAAGAAAAAACTCAACATTAAAATGCAAGCAGTGATCAACTTTCTTTTCTTTTAAGCAATCTACTTTCATAATTAAGGAAGATGGTTCATATAGAGAGGAAAGTTGTGTTTGGTTTTTTTTTTTTCCTCTATCTAGTAACATACAAAATCCTAGACTGCAGAACACCACACTGTGAATTTGTATGCTATACATCCTCTGAAGGCCCTAAGTGCTTTCAGGACATCTTAAGATTTGTGGAGGATCTTGTGGAAAACAAGCCCCTTAAGTATGCTGTGGGCTGAATCAGAAGTTTCTGACGTTAGTGCATGCATACCGTACATCACCACAAAAGGCCATAACACAGCACAGCTATAGCACACTCAAGATGGGTTAACAATATGTCTCCTGCAACAAAACAGAATGGACATCATCTTAGGATGTATTAATAAACTTCATACATGTGTAAAGTATCAGAAGCAATAATAACGTCGTATTCAGCTCCAATAAGGCACCTTCTGGTTTAGGGTTATTGATTTTGCTTTGTAAGTATGATTGATACTGAAAAAAGTAACCAAGCAGGCAGACTTCTCCCAGCCTGTGCCATCAGTGCTCCCACAGATGGCACCTCTCCTTTCAGCTGGAAACTTCTGCCTCTTCAGAACAGGGACCCACCCTCCTAAGCTCAGAGAGCAGAAACAAGTGTTTGAGAACTACAGGGTTGGAAGGTTAGTATAAATCTTTTAAGTAAAACACTATCAAGGGCAGACGTTCTTTAGGAAAGTCCAAAATGCTCTGACTCTATTTACTCATGATTGCCCCTCTGTCAGGGATCCTGCCCCCTTAAACCCACTGACTGCCAAATCTCTTTGTATGGTGAACTTGGGGGAGGGTGAAAATGCTAAACATACC